CCTTATCCACCATCATAGAGCCCTCATCTAGCCTATCTAAAGGAAACAGAAGCAGACACCTATAACTAAACACTGAGCCAAACTGGAATCCAGATGCAGAGAGGGAAGACAAGACCAGGCTACAGAAACACATAGCTGACCTGAACTAGGAAGAAGTAATGGATCCCCAGACTGATAGCTGGGAATCCAGCATTGGACTGACTCAGACACCCTGAACATGGGTTCTCAGGAAGAAGGTCTGGGCAGTATAAGGGACCACTGACAGTGGATCCAGGATGTATCCCTGGTGCACAAAAGGACTTTGGGAGCACATTCCCCATGGAGGGATACTCCCTCAACCTAGAGGCAGGAGGAAGGGCCTAGTCCCTACTCCAAATGACTTGACAGATTTTGTTGATTCCTCCTGGAAGGCATCACCCTCCCTGTGGAGTGGGGGTGGGTGGGGTGGGATGGTGATTGGGGGCATAGGAGGAAGAGGGAACTGGGATCGTGATGTAAAATGAAAAAATAAATAAATAAAAAATAAATATTTGTGTGAAAAATAATATATGGATAATATGTATTTATTATTTTGCCATTGTTCTTATTTAGTTAATGTGTATAATGTAGGACAGATTTAAACTTTTAATAGATACTGAAGAAATTTTGTGGAATGTCTTGTTATCTTTATCATTTTTAATTTAAAATGAAAATTAATATTCACTTAAACAAAAAAGAAAAAGAAATGTCACCAGCCACATTGAACTGGGTCTTCCTACATTAACTTAAGACAGTCCACTGGACTCAGCCTCACGCCAACCCAATTGTATAGTTTGTACTTGAGATTCTCTGTCCAGGTAATTCTAGGTCATGACAAACCCAATTGTATAGTTTGTACTTGAGATTCTCTGTCCAGGTAATTCTAGGTCATGACAAGTTGACAATTTAACTATCACACTGTATTTTACTCATTTTTTTGTGTGCCTGGCACAATAGATTAGTAGTTTCTCATTCAAGAGATAAAGACATCTATTATAGTCCAAACAGTTCAGTATATACAATATCACTACAGTGTTTTACTAAATATGTTTATAACCATTAGTAATTTTAAAAAATGAAAAAATTTCATATTAAAGCATTAGAAATATGTAATTGGTATTCTACAGTATTTAGTGTGTTTCCATCCATTGCACTATTATCTTCTTATGCATTCAGATTATTCTCATTAGGAAGTAGTAATCTCTCCATGTTAACTCATAGATCAGTACTAGTCATCTAAGAAAGTTTCATTCTGTTTTAAATCAAAATATGGTCCAGTCTTACCATGTATACTTCTAATATGATTTGGAATTAGGCATTTTCAAGAAGACCTGGCAGATGATATAATAAGACCACAGAACTGGAAAATTAATTATTATTAAGTTGATCTTGGTTCCTATGCCTTCTCAGTGAGCAGAAATGAGAAATGTTTATGTACATACAAATATACATGCATATATGCATACATAAAACATTAAGAGACTATAAGGTTTTTTAAACTTCCTTATTTTGTGTGTGTGTGTATGTATAAATCAATTTTCTACCTTCTAAAATAATTATTAATGATATTATGCAGGTGTAACAGAATGATACATGACTTTTTCGTTTTGTCATAAAGCATACAGAAGAGATTAATACCATGTAATACAAGTAGTGGTTGCTAAAAATACTTTTGAGTTTATTTTTCACAGTTCTTTGTGTTATGTCCACATTACATGGTGGTGTTAAATTATTATCTTGTATGATTATGCTATTAGTAGGGTATATACATCATTATGACACTAGTAGAATACTCATTTAAATGGTATTTACTTTCTTAAGAGATTCCCTTTGAAAATTGAATGGATAATAATAGCCTTTGATTCTGGAAAGGTAGATAAATGATGAAATTTAAATCCAGTGCTACTGAAACAGGAGTAAGAAATGGCATGGGGTATCCAGGAAAACTCCCAGCATTGTCCAAATTATGTCTTCCCAATACAGTTGTGTTCAAAAATAATTTCTATACCATTAAATTCTTCTAAATCTAGACAATATTATAAGTTCATTTTCCTTACATAAATGTCTTAATTTGGTTTCTCTGTATATATAATTCATAATTAATTATGAAGAGTTGACTTTGTTTTAAATATATACAGACACTTTAAAGAATATGTTGGTAGACACACTTTTCTCGTATAGCACAAGAGTCTCATTCCTATGTTTTACCCTTATATTATAAAATGAATCAACCTCATTTTTCCTCATAAAACCATGTCCTAATATTCCAGGTAAGGTGACATATGCCTTTAATTATAGCTACTGATAAACATGGGGCAGCCAGACTGGGCGATATATCAAGACTCATTAGAAAAAAAAAAAAAAAAAAAAAAAAAAAAACCCTTGCAATTAGTAAATATGCTCTTCTGGTATGAGTATATACCTAAAGAGTATCTGAAGAAAGTATTGTACTTAAACAATATTATAAAAAATGTAGGTTGTCTTTTGTAAAATGAATTTAGAGTAAACAATATTATATGAATATATAACAGAGTAGAATATGGATTTTTGAGTAATGTACAAAATTAAGTATTAAGTAATGGTTAATACTTAATTTTGTATTTTTAAGTAAAAGTAGTAGATTTTTCTTTTGTCAATTAAAAAATTGATGCCAAATCTTGGCCTCCCTCTCTGCATCTGGATTCCAGTTTGGCTTAGTGTTTAGATATGGGTGTCTGCTTATGTTTCCATCAGCTGCTAGGTGAGGGCTCTATGATGGTGGATAAGTAAGTCATCAATCTCATTATCCAGGATGGGCATATATGGTAGACTTTTCACTATTGTTCAAATTGTCAGTTGGGGTCAGTCTTGTAGGTCTCTGGACATTTCTCTAGAGCCAGTTTTCTCTTGAAACCTATAATGACTTCCTCTTTTATGGTATCTCTCTCTTTTTTTCTCTCATCTATTCCTCCCCTGACTCAATCTTTCTAGTCCCACATGCTTTCCTTTCCTCCCCATCTCTTTCTCCTAGCTTGCTCTCCACTCACTGACCCCCACTCCCAATATGATCAGGAGATCTTATTCCTTTCCCCTTATGTGAGGGACCCTGTATGAATATCTTAGAATCCTCCTTATATCCTAGTTTCTCTGGTGGTGTGAATTATAGAGTGGTGATCCTTTGCTCTATGCCTATAATCCATATATGAGTGAGTACATACCATGTTCCTCTTTTGTGACTGGGTTACCTCATTCATGATGGTTTCTTCAAGTTCCCTCCATTTGCCTGTAAATTTCAAGATTCCATTGTTTTGTTTTTTTTTTCCTCTGAGTAGTATTCCATTGTTTTTTTCTGCTGAGTGGTATTCCATTGTGTATATGTGCCACATCTTTATCCAGTCTTCAGTTGAGGGGCATCTAGGTTGCTTCCAGGTTCTTGCTATTACAAATAATGCTGCTACAGACATAGGTGAACAGATGTCATTGTTGCATGGATGTGAATCATTTGTGTATATGCCTAAGAGTGGGATTGCTGGGTCCTGTAGTAGACTGATAACCATTTTAGGGACCTGCCATATTGATCTCCAAAATGACTGTACAAGTTTGCACTCCCACCAGCAGTAGAGGAGTTTTCCCCTTTCTCTACCTCCTCTCAATCATAAGTTATGATTGGTGTTTCTAATTTTAGCCATTGTGGCAGGAGTAAGATGGTATCTCAGAACTGTTTTGATTTGCATTTCCCCAATAGCTAAGGATGCTGAACACTTTCTTAAGTGTCTTTCAGCCTTTTTGATTTCCTCTATGGGTCTGTACCCCATTTTTAATAGTGTTATTTGGAGCTAATGGGCCCTCAGACTGATAGCTGGTTATCCAACATTGGACTGACTCACACCCCCTGAACATAGGTTTCAGTTCGAAGGCCTGGGCAGTGTAAGAAACCTCTGACAGTAGAACCAGGATGTATCCCTAGTGCACAAAAGGATTGGGAGCACATTCTCAAGGAGGGTTACTCCCTTAAGCTAGAGGCAGGAGGGAGAGCCTAGTCCCTACTCCAAATGACTTAAAGATTTAGATTACCCCTCCTGAAAGGCATCACCCTCCTTGTGCAGTCTGGGAGAATGGGGTGGGAGCGTGGTTGGGGGGCATGAGAAGGTGGGAAAGAGAGAGGGAACTGGGATCAATATGTAGAATAAGAAATATAAATAAATAAATAATATTTTTTGAAAAATTGATGCCAAGCAAGAGTAATATATTGTAACTACATATGTGTTGATCTCTGGGCCACACAGCTTATCTCATTTTCTCACCTAATTCTCAGATCACTCTTATTGGTTCATTATTAACACATATCATGTCTGTGGCCAGTTTACACATTTCTTGAAGAAATTGACAAACATTAGGTTTCTAAGCAGTTTTCTTTTCATCTTGTGGCTTCTTGTTTATCTAACATTTCAGATAAAAATGTAGTTGTCTTTTAAAATAAATCTTTACAATTTCAGAGATTCAAATTTATGTAAGAACTATAAACCTTCTTTTTAAATATATAATATAAAGTAGATGGTAGCTTATGTCATTAAAAATGTGAAGTATGAAACTTTGATATGAATGTTGAAAAAAATGTTTTCTTATTAACTGTCTAACCTTCATAAATCAATGGTTAAAATCTTCGAGAAATTTTGACAGATTCATTTATCACAAGTAACATTTTAGATAGAAAATATCTAATAACTTTTTAAAATGTTTCAGAAAGTTGTCTTAATATCTATTTACTTTTGTTGTATGTGTTTAACGTTAGTCAACGAGAAAATACACTTTAAGACAAAATTACGAACCATCTAACCTTACCATTGGTTCTAATTGGGCAATTAAAAAAAATAAACTTTCCAGATTATTCCCATTCTTGTTTTAGTTTTTACTTGAATTGACAAGAAGTTTTCTTTGTACATGTCCTAAAAACATATTTTAAATGGATATCAATTTTTCAACATGTTTGTTCTTGTTTACAGGATTGCACTGTATATGAAACTGAGAATAAAATTCTTCATGTGGTAAGTAGATTTGGATATATTTTATCATCATTAGATAATATTTACTAACAGTTAAAAGAATATGACTTGCAAAGTGTTCCATAATAAAAAAAAAGTTCTACTATCCTACATTAGTTAAATATATGTTTTAGGAAACCTATAAAAGAATCAAAACATGTTAGTTTTGGTCATCTTGTTTTAGCTAAAAAGAAAAATATGACCTAATATATGAATATTATGAGGCAAAATTTGAGTCAAATAAAATTATCTTGAAACCAGAATTTAAAAAGAAGAACTTTTCTCTTTAATTTATGCTTTTAAATATATCACAACAAGGAATATTTTTCAATAATGTGAGTAATTCATCACTATATTCATTTGGATGGTACATTTTCTATGACAATCAAACTACTTTGCTCTTACCTTATACAACCAGGCTTCTAGCTGGTAATTTGTCAGTATTTGTTGAATCCATTAATTTATTTTTTTACATTTGTTTATTATATCGATGATGGGTAAGGTATGAATACATGCATTTAGATATCAGAGGGAAACTTTGCAATCTCATTGGAATTTTGCTGATATTTTATTTTGAAAAGTGAGATATTGTTATATTACATTCAGCGATGAGGTATCTCTTGTTAGCAAATACCTTGCTTTTTTACTTATTGTAAACCTACTCTGTAATGTTTTGATATTTTCTTTACTTCTGCTAAGAGAACATGGCACTTGTGCAGTTATTATGTGGTAATAAAGATCCATATGCCTTGTTCATGATTTTGGGATTTATTATTCATTTTAATACTCACAAAAATATATTTCAGGAGTGAGACATATGTAAAATATTTTTCCTAAATATGTGGGGGAGGTAAACATGAACTCAGAATGGCAGAAATGCTGAGTTAATGCTCTTCCCTTCACTCTATAGCAGTGATGACATTTATCATTTCTTTAGGGTGGTCTCAAGAAAGAACAACTAATAAATTCTTCTCTAATTTGGTCTAGGAAGAAAAAATAACTACCCTAATTCTTTTTAGGTATTATTATCCTTGCATTCTGGAGAACAGGCAGGAAAAAATATTTATTTATTTAAGATATATACATACTATACACACACACACACACACACACACACACACACACACTGACCTCGAACTCAAAGAAACTCAAAGAAACATGCCTGTTTCTGTGTCCTGGATGTTGGGATTAAAGGTGTGCACTACCAAAAAAAATTACTATTCACAATTACTATCTGAAATTGTTCAGGAATATATAACTTATGAATAAATTATATTAATATCCTAAAATATTCATTGGCCAGTATTAAAGGAAAGAGTCTACATTATAAGTGCTAAGTAAATTATAAGCACAAAACTATTAAAATTTTAAAAGTGAATATTCTGGAATAATAGTATTTATTATATTTGCTTAGAAAGATGAAAGCTAAATTTTTATCTTCAAGTAATTTCTTGTTTTTAATTCATCTACAGTATTCTTGTGATGAAAACAAGAAAATTTTATATTTTTTGTAGTGCTTTACCATTCCAAACTATGTTCCTCCTTTTCCTTCTTTTCCACTCTCTCCTCTCTCCTCCTCTACTTCCTTCTCTGTTCCCTCTACCTCTCTGTGACCCTCTCTCCTCTTTTCTTCTTTCTAGCTCCTTTTCCCTCAACCTATTTTTATTTATTTAACTTTGATAATAAATTTGATTACTTTCTGCTTATTAGGTTATTTATTTTATTCTATAAATAGTTTGTGTAATTTTTCATATCTGCAAGTTTATTAATTTTTCTAAATATCCAGCCAATCTGAGATTCTTATACATTATCAACTGTCTAGACTAAAGGAGACATGGCCAACAATTGTATATAACAGAAGAGCCTGGGAAAGGAAGTAAAGAACTCAGTTTAGTCTTTGCCTTATCATTGATAGGATGTATTATATAATTATCCTACACCTTAAAAATTATTTAAGTACTCATATAGCAGCATTCCCCATGATGTAATAAAAGTGATCATATTTAATCTTTAAAGATTTCTTGAATGCAGTAGAATGCTAATGACTTTCAAATTCATACAGAAATTCACTGATCTGTGAAAGGGCAGCTTTTATCAATGATAACCCAGAATCCTCTCGTAAAGCTGCTATCTTTGTCCAAATGTAAATTGAATTTTTCTGTGCTTAAAATTTCATTGTGCCTATGACATTTAAGCATATAAGTTCTAGTTAGTCTCATTAATATGATTTCTAATAATTGAGTTTTCTAGATGAAAAGCATTATGATGCTGCTTGACATATATTGCAATTAATATCATCCTGCTAACTTGGCCTCAATTCACCCTTTGTAGTCAACCTAAAGATGTATGGTAACAGTTACTGAGCCAGAAATTGTTTTCTAGAGTGTTTTATTCGATTTCAACACTTCGATTATTAGAAACATTAGACACTATTTTAACTATAAATTAATCTTTCTAGACTAAAGAGATGGCACTTGCTCATCTTGCAGAGGATGTGGGTTTGGTTCCAAGCATCTATATTGTAGTTCCAAATCATCTGTAACTCTGGTCCCATGGGATTCAATACCTTATTCTGGCCTTCTCAGGCAAGAGGCACACAACGTGTTGCACAGATATCCACACAAGCAAAACACTCGCATAAAATAAAAATAAATAAATCTTAAAAATGATAATTCCTCTATAACTGTTTACCCATACCAAAAGTACAAAGGAGACATACAAGTATGATATGACAGAAGTAGAAAATATTTGCCTTTCCTAGAACAAAAGGAGAAACTTGTCTTCTTAAAAAAAAATTACCCTACATAAAGATAAAATGGTATGATGTTTATAGACAGTGAATGAGACAGTATTCTAGTATTCTAGGTGTAAGTATTCTAGGTGATGTTATACTTGCTGAACTTATTGCACATTGCAGAATACTTTAATATTTAGACTGACTCAGAGGGTGTAGTCATCGTCCTCATAAAGTATTTGTTTATATTGAATACTAATGTAATATAGTAGAAAGGGCACTGATGAGAGATTTAAAAAAATCAGTGTCCCAACTCCAGTTGACACTATCTGTGAACAAGCTGAAATTAGCCTTTCTAATTAACTTGAGGGATTGAACTAGCTATAATTCCTTAGATCTCAATGCCACAGCTATTTTATGATAAACTCACAAAATCATGTGAAAGCAAGTAGCCACATAAAGTGGTAAGTTTGAGGCTAATCTTTTTTAGTCCTGTTCAATTATATTGAAAAGTAATTTTAAAACAACTTAGCTCTACTTTTAAAAATCTAGTATCTTTGAGAACATACAGAATGGGACCAGAATCAGTTTAGAAACAGAAACTGCACATTGACTTAAACAAGGGAAGTGTGGTACAAATTATGATTAACTTATATCAGGAATATCTGGAATCCTAAGCCATTTCTGAAATGTAAGAGAAATGATAACCTTATCTAGGCAGAGCACTCATCCCCAGGGCTTAGAATGTGTGATTGTATCCTCATAGGTTTTCATAGAACAGAGCTAGCACACCATTGCCAGAACAGGAGACAAAACTTTTTGCTATGTAGGCAGATGAAGATGTCACATGGGAGATGTTATAGCAAGAGTTTGGTTGCTGCTGTAGTATAAGAGTTCAAGAGAGCTTGTTAAGATAGCCTCAAGAAGATAGACTCTAAACAGAGCTGCAAAGTTGCTGGGAGTTTTGCATAGATGATCTAGGTGTGTGGGTGGAGCAGAACATTACCTGTAGTCCATTGAGTGTCCTCTGCTTGGGAACCCACCACAAACTTGCCTGCCACTGCTTTCTAATCACAAAACAGCAGGTAAATAGAATAGATCTAGTTCTGGTTTCTAGCTTAGATTGTATCCACATGCTAATGCAGAGAAGTAGGTACTGTCTTATTAAAATCTGTATGTATGACAGAACTTAGACACTTGGCAGGATTAAGGAATTGGCCAATATCATGCAGCTATTGAGTTGTAAACAAGGATTCAATCCCAAGCTCTTCATCAATCTCATATGGTTGCCCTTTTATGAGAACAAAAGTCCAATTCTGTGGCTCAAAAATGAATGTGTATTATTTCAATGGTGTTTTGTTTATAATTTTCCATTTGTATCTATGGTGGGCAGGATTCTAAGATCGCCCAAGATTTATGTTCCTGGCATATAATTAGTAATTCTTGATTGTATTTGTGGTCAGATGCCACAATGAATTCCAGTTCAACATTACCAGGATTTATTCTATGAAAAAAGTGAAGGGATTTTTTTTCCAGATATGTTTAAAACCCTTTATCTTTTGACTTGGATATCATAGGAAAAGAGAAATTATCTTTGGTGAACTTAACCTTTTGTAAGCCCTTTAAAAATGTCTCAAAGAAGACAAAAAGTCTTCTGTTGTTCTTGCAAAAGCCAGACACCTCATTATAAGGTGTCCTATGAAGTGTTTCATGTAATCAAGACCTGAGGGCAACTCTTTGGAGCTAAGAATAATCCCTGGATGATGAGAAGAAAGAAACTGGAGATCTCAGTAGTATATCCACATGGAAATGAGTCTACTAATGACCTAATTGGACATGAAGCAGTCTCTTTTCTTCTTAAGCCTTTCTTTTGGATATTTAGCCCTGTTGACATCTGACAGGCTTATGAAAACATGATCTGCAAAGTAGGGACTGGGTCCAGTATCTGGATACCTATCTCACAGAAACTGGGAAATAAAAGTGTGTTATTTTAAGCCCCTGAGCCTATGATGCTATGATGATTTGTATCCATTTAAAATTTAAATTTAAACTCAGAAAAGCCAAAAAACTTGAAAAATTTTAAATAAACCAAAATAGACTAGTAATCAAGAGAGAATAATTATGAAAACATTTCTTTGATCACATAAATCTAAATGTTGAATACTATATTTCCACCTCTAGTTTATTTGTGAGGAGTTGGCAAGTCAGTGGAAGACAAGTACTTTATTAAGCATCATGGTTTGTGGGGTTTTTGCTTTGACTATTCCTT